AGGCCCAGAGTTCATGCCCCACAACAGACAAAAAAAAAAAAAAAGAACTTAAAATAGTTTTTATGTGCATTGAAAAAGTACATACTAAGAGAAAAGTCCATGGGGATCTTATGTCCAATTTATCACAGAAAAAGCCAGAAATGGCTCTGTGTCATAAGTGGTAGAGTGCTAGCTTTGAGCAAAAGTTGCTCAGGGAGAGTGCCCAAGCCCAGAGTTCAAGTCAAAATAAAAAGCATGGCTATTCGCAACTACCTTCAAGAAGATCTGACTACTATATCATCTGATGGCATTCTCAGGAATGATGCAGGGAAGGAGAAAATGTCTAAGTAAGTGAGAAGTCTGAAGTATTTTCTTTAGAAGCTAAATTAATTATGGGCCTTAATGAGGTTAACCTAACCTTCACAGGTAAAGATAACATGTAATGAGAAAAAGCAGCCATGAATGATAAGCGAGAATATAATATGGTCTCTTTGATAAAATATAAGTTACACACATTTATTTTAGCTTCCTAGGAAGTCAGGCTAATGAAATTACAAAGGAATGATTAATGTTGATGTGCATGTGGAAGTAAATTACATAGAAGAAAATCGAAAGAGTCTAAAAGAAAGTGTGTGTATTATACATTGTAAAAAGGTAAAAGCTTCCTTATCCATGACATTTTGCAAGCTTATTGGTTCTAGTTCTATTTGTATTTTCTCTATTACCTTCAAAATAAGAATCCTAAAAATGACATGCCAAAATCTGCCATACAAAAGGGCCGATACAGTAATTTTGAAAATAGATGGAAGTTTACTCTAGGATTTCTTTAAAAAAACCACTGGTAGTCAAGATCTGGGAAAGGGTGACGTTCCCAAAGAAATATACTCTTTATCTGACTTACGTTACTGTAACCCCCTCTGTACATCACCTTTACAATAACAATAAAGAAATTTAAAAACAAAAACAAGCTCATGACAGATATTGTTTAAGAAGAACAAAGTTTCCTTTAGAACAGTGATTTTGGTTACACATTGCTTTGGCATAGGAAGCTTTTCAAACTATTGCTGCATGGACGTCACAATTGGATAGAAAGATATCCTTTGATTTAACAGTACAGTTGTAGTCCAATCAATCCATGATAAAACGTCAAAACTACATTCAACACACCAAAACGTACAGAACGACACAATTTGACTACATAGTCCATTGCAGGGGAAATGCTGTTCACGCCAGTGATGGTTTACTCTCATGAGAGGTCACTGTAGCCGCACCAAGTGTCATACCACATACTATTAGTGCTGCAAAGGAAGATTATGGTTTGAACATAAAATGCTCCCCCAAGGCTCATGTGATAGGATTTTGATGCCCAGCTTTTTAGCGCTATTTGGGTGAGTGCTAGAAAGTTTAAGAGGGGGGATGCAGTTGTATGCGGCTGAGGGCAGGTGCCTGGAAGATGTTTTGTGCACTAGCTGCCTTCTGTCTGTCTCTTTGCTAGAAAGGAAGACGTGTGAGCATGATAGAACACAGGAGGAAGACTTTCAAGAAGCAGAGTGCTACTCACTGTGCAAAGGCAAACATGCCTTCCTGCCATCCCCAGGTGGAATGGATATATCTGGAACAGAGCTCTCAGATCAAGTCAGAGCCAGCACGTGGCTTTCTGTTCTCTTGGAACACAGATTTGGGAAAAAGAAGGTGGGAACACATTCTGCTCATATTTTGGTTGTCATTTCCTGGTTTTTTTGGGTGGGTCTGGTCGTGGGGACTGAACTCTGGGCTTGGGCGCTGTCCTTCAGCTCTTCAGCTCAAGGCTAGCACTCTACCACTTGAGCCAGAGTGCCACTTCTGGCTTTTTTTTCCTGCTTATGTGGTGCTGAGGAATCGAACCTAGGGCCTCATGCATACAAGGCAAGTGCTCTACCACCTTCCAAGCCCATTTCCTTATTTTTAGTATGTATATATATATATATATATATGTATATATATACATATGTATATATATACATATATATATATACATATATATATATATATATAATTGTAAAAGTGATGTACAAAGGGGATACATTTACACAAGTCAGGTAATGAGTTATTTAAGTCAGGTAATGAGTGCATTTCTTTTTGAATAGTGTCACCCCCTTCTCTTGATCTCTCCCAGTGTTCCCCTCATTCCTCAACCACAACTTGTATAGTTCATTTTCAATCGAATGCCTAGGGAAGACCACTGCTGCATTTATTCACCCTTTGTCCTACCTTTTCTGGGCACCCCGTTACCTTCCCAAAGACAGAAAAACTAACAAATCAGACTATATATGTATACATATACATACATATATATATTTGTACACACAATTGAATTCTACTCTTCCATTAGAAAGAATGATATTGTACCCTTTATAAGGAAATGGAAAGACTTGGAAAAAATTACACTTCTTTTACAAAAGAAATAAGCAAGGAGTAACAGCTAGAGTATGGCATATGTACTAAATTTAATCATTTATACAATGATTTTGGTGAATTATACAACTATCAGCTGCAAAATAATGTTGCTGGACTTCATTACTATCCTTTGTAATAAGGAGACAAAATCTAAGACACATGGATGTTGAATATATTGCTCCGTCATGTAAACAAGTTGCAAATCTAGCCATCAAGTAATTGTGTTTTCTCCCACTCTATTGTAGAGTGGCATAAAATAAGCATGCTCTTGATTTCTGTGGGCTGATTCCTCTGCCTACTTTCTTCACGCACTCATGTCCTAGAAAGGGTTTCAGGGCCCCATCTCTACAACACTGGGCTTTTTCCACATGGGAAGAACAAGGCTGACACAGTCTGTTAGGTAAACACAAGTGACAAGTGACAGTGATTTATACCCAACTTGCACACTTCTGATTACCAATCCCTCGCCTGCTATATAAACAGGTGCAAACTAAGATTTAATCAGTTTACACAGCACAGTAAATAATTTAATCTCTCCTTAGCACAGTGCTTGCAAATGTAAATGTTTAAGCCCTAACTGATGTTCATGTTGTGATGCAAGCATCCAGTTTCTCAACCAGAAAAGCTGTGTCCACGAAAGACTTTCAAGTGCCCCTACCCAGGCAGATAGATGGAAGGGGTGAAGCAGAACATCCAGAGATCTGGATAGAGACCTCATTTTTCCCCAGCATAAAGGTCAGCCATGGGCCCAGAATGCTGGTGTTCATCTCTTAATTCTTCCTGGTCCTGACATACTTCTGCCCCTCTTTATTACTCCTGACTTAACTGATCTGCAGGTATCTGAGATGCAGAGAGGGCTGCTGGTCTGTGCAAAGACAGGCAAGGAGAGAAAGCAGTGGGGAGAAAAATAAGGCAAGATAACTGCAGTCCTCAAGCCAGTTGCAATAACCCTTGAAAATTATGTGGATACATACTGCTTGCCAGAGTGTACCAAGAAAAGCATTCTGCATCTAGAGCCTATGCAACATGTGGTCAAACATGCTCTTAGCTGTTGGACTGTTTATAGTACCTGCTAGACTCCACTGAAGCATAGGAAGCATCCTATGACTTATTCACATTCTAATCGGCCTGGTTCTTCCCCGCTGAGCTGAGAGAATCAGAAAGGGTTGTCCCTTAGTCTTCAGTTATGGCTTCCTCTATGTGCTAGTCCCTGACCCTGGCTGTACCACTACGATAGACCCCATGTTAATACGTCTGGGGTCAACTAGAGGAAGGGTGAGTATGTTTCAGAGAATAAGCTTCCTCATTTTCCTCTGTCTGCTTAGAGAAGACTAGTTTATAGCAAAGTTTGTATCTGCTGGCATCATTGGTAATGGTATGGGTGGGTACTGTCACTATTTCAAGACAATAAACAAAAAGCTAACAAAAAGAAGACCTATCCTTTCAACTAAATCTTGAGTAAGAAATTTATTTATTTATTTATATTTGCTGTAACTACATTATGAATGGTAGGAAAATGCATGGAGTTTCTTTTGCTGAAAGTTATTGTGATTATTAATATTTGTTGTTACAAAGTCTCTTTTCTGAAACCATTTATTGAGTAACTGGCATAAACCCGGTGCTGTACTGGATATAATTATCTCATTTAATCCTCAACTCAACACTTTGAGGCATGAGTGTCATCATCCATTTAAAAGGAGATGGAGAATCCAAGTCAGGTAACTTGCCAGGAGTTCCTCAGTTGGTGAAGGACGAATGCACCCTAGCCGGGCTCTCTTAAAAGTCCTTCATCTTAACTTGTGCTGTGAATCTTTCATTTCTTCTCTCCCCACCCTGCATATTCAAAAGGAAAGCTCTTCTCTCTATAGCTCCCCGAGTGGACAACCAGAGTTCAGGGAAAAGAAGGCATAAAGATTATGATCACAATGCAAAAACCACTACGTGGTGGTTGATTTTCAGTTTTGAAAATTAGCTCATTGACTTGTATGTCTTTTACATATTAATTCAATAAGTCACTATATCAGCTTTATCAGGTAAACAGCGAGAGAAATCTCTGTATCATGCATTTATTAAATATCTGGTCCAAAGCAGGAAGTTTCTCCCTGAACTCTGCTTGGGTTATCTATGGATAAGGTTGGTTGTACCAGCACAGGATTGGATTTAGATGACACACCAAACACTCAGGAGGAGCCTAATGCTTACTTTCAAGGAAAATGATGAGTAGGGCCGAAATTCTTTAAAATAAACCACCTAAGTGACACTGTGAAATCTCCTATGAGAGAGAATATTTTAAAGGAAAGAATTGAAATCACTTTCCTGTCATGACTGGTTAATATATCTGTATTGAAAAAGAGAGATTGCACAGACAAAAATACACAAGGAGCGGACATCCCAGGAAGGCTCAGTATCATTTGCAGAGGAATGATCTGTCGTGTGCAAATGAATGCAAGAGGAGCAAGGTATACATGAGCTAAAGACAGTGAAGACCAAGACAACTGCAACTTACTTCTGTGTGCAAATGAATGCAAGAGGAGCAAGGTATACATGAGCTAAAGACAGTGAAGACCAAGACAACTGCAACTTACTTCTTGACTTGACTCTCTGCACTTTCCAACACGTAGTAGCCAGGTTTGCATTCATATTTGCAGATGGTACCCACATCCTGGTTGTCCCTGAGACAGCGAGGCAGAAGCAAGTTGGCATTTGGTATCACGGGGGGAGCATCGCATTCCAATTTGCAGTAGACTTCAGGGAGAGACCAGAGCCCATCTTCAAGACAGGTCAGCCATGGATTCAGTCCTGAATGCAGAAAAGAGAAGCATAGAGAGTTCAGCAGAAAGAATAAAAATCATTGATACATATTGATACATTGACATTCTTCCAATCATCACATTGTTCTTGGTTGAACAGTGTCTCTAAAATCTTGCATCAAATGTTCATCCTATGTGTTATTAGCTGTGTGAGCCAATGGGATCTCTTGTGCAGAAGTCATATAAGTATATTTTTGGCTTGAATGAAAGAATGCTTAGAACCAAAAATTGTTACCTTCTTTGCTCCCTCTCACAAATGATAAAAATATTGTTGTGACAGTAACCATAGATAATAATAAAACAATAGCAGATAACACTTATATAGTGGTTATTGTATTGCAGCCACTGTGTTGTATTAACTTGCACAGATCTCAAGTAACAATCATATAAACTAGATTCAGTCATTATTCCTTGTTGTATAAAAAATGAAATTAGAGTTTGGTAACCTGCCTAAGCACTTAAAGGGTAGAGTTAGGGTTAAGTCAGGCAGCTTAAACATCAGTTTCTCCAAGTACGAACGATGGACTATTCACAATAGCCTAAGCCAGCCCACTCCAGATCCACTAAATCAGAATGTCTCAGAGTAAGACTTGGGAACTTGCATGGGTAACACATAATTGTTAGACACATCCAAATCTGAGAGGCCTGGTGAGGAAAAGAGCAAGGTATAGGAGCCAGTGAAAGCAGAATCCACCCCATCTCTAGTAGCAGTGCAGCCAGAGACAAGTTATATAATTGCAACAAACTACATCTAACCCATCCAACAATTACACATATTTAATTTTAAAAACAAACATGGTGCCATATACCATGGTTATGCATATATAAGGACAACTGAGTTTCCTCCAGGAAGGTCACCTTGAGCTTTCTAGGTGATCAAGGACAAAGAATGGTTTGTCTTTTGGTAGAGCAGGTAGAAACCATGCAGAGATAAAGAAAGAGTGAGCCTCTTCTCCCCCAGAGGCCAAGGAGAACCTGCCTCCTCCCAGCTGGTCAGACCATACCTCGGAGCTTGGCTGGTGGGATACAGGAGATGGAACAGCGTTTCAGATATTCAGTGCCTTCGGAGCAGGAGAAGTTCGCAAAGTTCACCAAGGATGAGTCAGGGATGCCACAGTCCAGGGGAACGCAGCTCACATTCTGGTCCCAGTGCCCGGAGAAACAGGTGAGCACAATCTCCTAGAAATGACAGAGAATTCATTTCTTTCAGGTTATCCGAATAATTATCAGGCTTTGCTAGGGAAATGCTCCACCACTGAGCCATATCCAAAACATAATTTTCAGGTCTCTGAAGAGTCCCGACGATCATTTGCACCCAAATTTAATATAGATAAAACAATCATGCCTCTGTCTCTTCTTAGGCCTCGCAGTTCTACTACAGCAGCTCACAACACTTGGGTACGATGCTGAGGAAAGGAGCTTGTCTAAGCAAGAGAATCACTAAAAGGCAGTGCTGTGCTTGGATACCTCTGCTGGCTGCCGTGCACTTGCTCCTTTCTCCCTCCTCTATACCCAAAGACACTAACTCCTGCAGGCTTTATGCTTCTGCCTTGTATTTGGTTTTGTCCTAGGACCCCGTGGAAGGAACCTGGAGATGGGGGTGGAAATGGGAGACTTGAGTGCTTATTCTTCCTGCTTTCTCTGGAGGAAGTGTTGGTACATTGGATCATCCTTGGCTATCCTTCCATTCAGCTGATGGGCTCATGGGCTCTGTGGCTCCCCACAGCTGAGGGTAACAGGACTAAGGGTAACAGCTGAGTCCTTTACCCCCTGGCTACTGTATATCTCCTGTGATCCTTCTTAAACCTTTAGGAGTAGTCTTTTTATTAAAATTTCTCAAATTGCCTGCTTTGTCACTCATGTCCTGCCGTACCTTATTAATAAGCCAATGAATAATTCTGAGAGAAGGACATAGTATCTAAGAACAGCTGAACTTAGAAGGTACCCAAAGTGGTTAAGTGGGAGTGAGTCCACTATGTCCAGGGCCTGCCATTTTAGTCAGGCAGCCCTAGAATACAATCATTAATTAAATAAAGAGATTATTTATTGGGTAGCTAGAAGTGGAAGGTGTTAAGAAAGATAATTTCAGGAGCTAAAACCCAACCAGGAGAGTAAATCTCATGCTGAAGAAGTAGCTAAGAATATGTCTAAAGATGTCAAAACTTGGAAAGAGAGAGAAAAGGAGAAAAGGCAGAAAGGAAATAAATAAAATAATGCAGATGCAATTTTCTTTGTCACAATAGCTCAATAGGTATGTATATATGACCATATAAAACGATGGTAATCAAAATGAATTCTAAGATAGGGAAACAAGAGGTATTTTTGTTTTTGTTTTGTTTTTCTAATGTGCTGTGTAAAGTTATTTCTGTTTTCCTTCATTTATTTTGGTACCCTGTGTCTTGTATATATGTTTATCTGATTTGGAGAAGAGAAGGAGATTAACAAAATGGTGAGATAAAGGACAAAGGGTGAACCAATGCAACAGCGATACTAACAAAACACTATGTTGGAAATGAACTTTACAACTTATGGAGGAGGAGAGTCAAGGGAGAGAGGGAGAGTGGGAGAAAATGAGGGAGAGGTTAGCAATGTTCAACAGAAATGTACTTATTGCCTTACTTATAGAACTGCAACCCCTCTGCACAACACCTTTACCGTGATTTTTTTAGAAAGGAAAATATAAATATATGAAGTCAAGCGACATGCTATGATCCTCCAGCTCTGGAGGAGGACGGTCACTCTTGGGCTGAGAGGGAGAATATTTAGGGGAGTTTCACTAAAGGAGAAACAAAGGGACAGAAGAAGTGTATGGAATGGAGATGAAAATGAACAGGTCCTAGAAGCCAGAAGATCTCTGTTCCTTTGGGAAAAGTCCAACAGTCACTCCAGAATCTGGGTTAAAGGTCAAAAGTGGAAAGGGGAGTTTCTGCGGCTGACACAGCTATCCTGTCAGGAGGCTATAGTGGCAGGAACGCTAAACGCCCAATGACTGCCCAAGGCACCTGTCACCCCTGACACCAACCCCTGGCAAGCTCTTCCCCACTGCTTCCCAGTGTGTCTCTGTTGTCTGCCAGAAGGACAAGCCAGACACATTTTTCTATTTAGCTTCAGTTCTTGTGTCAACAAAAAGCAAATGTCCCTACTGTCTTGTGATCACCAGTCAGGGTTGTATAATGTCCTTAATGGGGCCAGATTTGGATGCGAGCAGCTGGTCAGCTGCAGAGCTGTGTTGCTTGACTGTATCACATGGCTGGCAGATAGTGACTGTCCATCTCTCTCCTTCCAACAGGGCTCTGACCCCGGTACATTGATCACATTCAGGAAACCTGGCTCAGCCCACAACAAGCCAGGAATCACTTAAAGATCATCACCAAATCCTGCATAGATTGCCTGGGTATTCTCCTGACTTTGTTAGGAATTGTCCTTTGATCTTAATTTGAAGGCACTGCCAACATTGCCTCTTCTTCTTGGTTCTCCATAACTTACCACATATATTAATTCTGTCCCTATATTTTTTCACTCTTTTTTTAAAATATCTTCTACTTTGTTTTTAGTGTGTAGTACCTTTGTTTGAGTTGCAAAACAGGTGATAGATGTCCTTTCTTTTCAAGTAAAGTATACCACATAATGGAATTGACCCCTCAAGATAATTAAAATTGATTCAGTCTAGACAAGTCTTAAACCTTCTGAAATGTGAGTAGCCCTTTAAATTCTGACCATCTCTAAGCATATGAAGTTCTTTCACAGGCTTACCACCTGTTAAGCAATCAATTGCACAAGATAAAAAATTTTAATTATACAAACCATTGACATCTGACCAATAATCATGAGTTCACTCTTTTCTAATGTTAATATACATCTTTTATTTCCTACTTAAATACCACTAATCTGCCTGATTATGTATGTCTCATTATATTCTCACTTTTTCTAAAAGTTCTGTCCATGTTTAAAACTCCTCTCTAAAAGAATGACAGAAAACAAAGCCCTTAAAGCTGGAAATATATGTTCACGCTTATAATAATGGCGACCCAACAGTAGCTAGCGAGTGACATTTTTCTAAGAGCCTTAAAACAATTGCCCACTAGTCATTATAGTAAGTCAAGAGTTAAATCCTTAATGTCTTGATTATTTTACAAATGTGTAAATAAGCTTAAAGAGATTATAGCTTCTTTTGCTTGCTTTAAAAAATATTTTTTTGTGAAGATGCTGTATAGAGAGGTTACAGTTACATCAGTAAGGTAATGAGTACCTTTCTTGTCGGGATAGGGGGAGAAAAGCAAAGGAGAGGGTAACAATGCTTGCTTTTTTAAAAGTACATACCTAATACATGGGGGAACCAAAATTTCATCCAAATTGCTTTCCTAAGTAATGCTCATAACTAACATATTCTAACTACCTCCACCATACCTTGAGATCTTGAAAATGGTACAGTAGAAATTTGGAATAATGGGGCTTGTAGAAATTGGGAAAATTCAACCAAAACTAGCATCTTGATAGAATCTCTGCCTCTGTGACATATTTAATGCTTTTGGAGAGAAATTAGTCTGTATTTCTCTATTTTGGTAAAAGAGAAGACAGAGGTCAGGAACGGACAATGAACCACAGACAAGTTAGTTGCAACTGTTGTTCCTAGAAATAATGCACATGTCTATATTTTGCATTTTTACCTTGAAGGAAAAAAAAAGGGAGACATATAATTTCTGACTGGAAAATAAAAACAAAGGAGAGCGGAATGAGCATGGCTATGTATTGCCCTCCTAGAGGGTAAATTTACTTCCTGGTTAATCAGATTCACACATTCTGTTAGATACCTTTCATTTCTATTAAGCCATATTCCTCTTTGCTTGTTAGGGCAAAAAATCAAAACACCCTCTCCTCGTTAGTCTAGCCAGGGAGAAGCGCATACCAGAGTTTCTGGAAAACCTGGCCCTGCTAATCAGAGGATTCCAACTCACCTGCATAGGCCTGAGCTGTTGCCCCCTGCTGGTCTGTAGGACAAACCCCTTTTGACAGGTAATAGCACACTCCAGGTGACCAGGGCTGCTAGAAGAACAGTTCACCTTTTCTGTGTTCTCAAACAGCATGGGTGCACAGCTGCGCTGGTCCCCACAAAGCCGATGGGCACAGCTAGAATGACAGAAACACAACATCGCAGGACTGGGTGAGACTCAACGCGCAGCAGCAAGGATTTCACTGGTTCCTCTGAGGAATGCCTCTAGCAATTTACTCTGAACAACTTAGTCTTCAAAACTCCATTGAGCTTGTCGTTTTCTCCTGTATTACTTGGAACTATGAGGCATCACATAAACGATATCAATTAGCAAGTAAGAATTAACCAACTTATCATGGCTCTTCCAGGAAAGTCAAATAGTGATGGGATGAAGGAAAAGAAAGGTTCCCAAGAATACTGGGTGATCTCGATTAAGGGAAGATATTCAAATGTTGGTTGGTTCCCAAACAATCAGTAACAATGAGCTAAGGAGTGGATCTTGGAGACCCTTTGTTGTGTCAACATCAACCTTTTGGATGCTTGATCACGGGACTGTCCCAGGGGTCCTACAACAAAGGCCTGGGTATATGAAATGACCAAAGTCAATAACAACTGTTGACTGATTCATCTGAAAATATTTTATCTTCTTGTACAGTCGTAGTAGTACACACCACTAACAACCAGTACAAGCCACTCACAGCCTGTGCTAAGTGGAAAATCTCACATATTGAATCCCCATCACACGTTTGACAACATGCTAGGTACTTTGAGAGACATTCCCTCAGCAGAAAGCTATTTCCTGGATCATTAGGGCCAACCTTCAGGAAGAGGAGAGATAGATAAACTCCCCAGACTTCAAGGAAGCTCAGTCTGAACTACAAGAGCAGTAAGAATGCAGTAGAGCAAGAAGAGTACAACACTCCTTCCATGGCCAAACCAGAGACTGGAAATCAGCATAAAGAGAATGGCTTTGAATCCTGGTTCTACTAGATACTGGAGGGAGTCACTCATTCCCATGAAATGAGATAATTAGAGTAATATCTTATAAGGTTGATTCATTTCCATGTTAGTTTTCTCTGCTACTCTACTGTCAATGCCTCCCCAGCTGTCAGTTGGAGGTTTGCTCCCACCCTGATTTTTAGTTCTCTGATCCCTCTTTGCCTTTGTTGGCTTTATTTATTAAAAAGGCCTTCTTTTTCAAGAAGTCTCTCCAGCTCTCTTCCCTCAGTGTAGTTACAAAAAAAAAAACAATCCTGCTTTCTAAGATCTCTTTTACTTTCTGTTGTATATGTTATTTTATTGTTCTTAACTTATTTTCTGAACCCACAAGAAAATTTATATCTGAGTGTCTTCCAATCTCCTACTGGAGCATAAACTTTTGGAAGAGAAATATTTCCTCTTACCCATCTCTATATTCACCACACACCTTGCTGTAGTAGATATAAGAAATGTTTACTGGTTAAATTTGTTTGTACTGTAGTATAGATAACAAAGTAAGCTCCTGACTACCAAAATGGAAAATTTGCTAAATTATATTTATTTCAGATAAGGATCTGAAATAAGAAAATTATCTAATAATGCTTTACTTATACATTCATTAATAAACATTTAGTAAGCACTTCATTCTTTTCAAGGTATTGATCGCAGCACTAGTGATATAATAAGGATGCTGCTCTGAAAGCACTCATAGTCTAGTGAAAGACATTAACAAGGTGTTTTCCTGTTTTGTGTGTCATTGCCACTGGTCCTAACTACCAATCAAAGTGATAACCACTTGTCATCAATAATGTGTTGTTTGCTTCTAGATTGTATTAGTCAGCGATTTTATCAATAAGCTGGGCAATAATTTAAGAAAGTGGAAAGTAAAATGTCATTGGATATGCACATAGTGGCTTAGATAATTGAGAGTTGATTAAAAATGCAGCATCTCCCAAAGGGCAGATTTGATCTGACTGTGATTAATTTGCTGTCCCTGACCTTAAACTTTTTGGATTTAAACCATCTTCCAGGGACATTCTCATTTCTTTTACATATACTTGATAGAGGATGTAGGCATTGGAGGTAAATAATATGAGGGAACACTTTTACTCCTTTGTATTCTAGCTTTTCCTTGTGATGGTACAGTATCAATCATCAACCTGATGAAGGGAGAAATATATGAGTGGAGGGAGGGATGGCTCTTAATGAATCAGCATAGTTCCCCAAATCTAATGCTGATTATTGGGTATAAAATACGGAGTATAAGTCTCTAGGGATGTGAAGAACTCTGAACTCCGCAGATGCTATGGACTACTGTGCCCCAAATACAGTATCTTCTTCATTGAGTTGAACAGGAAGCATTGGAAAACCCAGCCATTAACATGCTGCTTCATATCAACTGATTGCCAAGAAATTCAGGCAAAAGAGGGGGCGTGCTGTTTTTAGTGACATCATGTAGTTAATCCTCATGGTTGTTGAGCACAAACACATGCTGTGACAAGACAGAAAGCAAACACTGTGCACGAGCCTTCTCCTATGGAGGAGAAGGCTGAGCTGTACTGAAGGCTGCTGCTCTGATCTCTGATCACTCCAACAGTAGGAGGAGTCTACCAACATTAGCAGCAGAGAAGAAAGAGCAAGACAGAAGCACACAGGAGGGAAAAGTGGCATGAAATATGACCAAGGCCAGAGAGAAACAGAGAGTGAGAAAGAGAGAGAGGAACCAAAGTCCTAGTTATGAAGTGAGAAATGGTTTTAGGGCAGTGGCTACAAATTCTTTCACTAGCTTATATTTCCATTTGCTTCCTTTTTTAAGGAATTTGTTTTATGAGGACGGTGTTTGTCAGGTCGTTAGTTTCTGATGGCATCTGGTACCAATTGTAGACTTCTCTCCCTTGTACCCCAACACTACAAAGTACTACAAAGGCTGCTTCTAGAGTGAGTATACTGTGTTCTCTTATCCCTTCCTCTCATTACTCTTGCTCTTAATCCTATGCAAGTTCTCACAGCATAAAGATGATGTTAGCAGTACAAATAATTCATCTCAAATTTTCTCTAAGAATTTATCCCTATGGTTTTTTTTCCATAAAGCTAATGAAAGTGGCAGAAATGACACCCAGAGATGTAGGAAGTTAGGTGTTTATCTTAGTTAGACATACGAGGAAACTAAAGTCATCTGGAAACTAGCTAGAGGACCACACAGCAAGCCAGAGAAAAATCCTCAGACTGGATCTCAGTTCCTCCCATTTCCAGACCCAGCTCAGGCCCAGCGCTAGGTTGCCTTTCTGCTGCTTTCTGTCCAGCTCAGAAGCAAGTAATATCAGCCAAGTAAACCAAGGATCTCTTAGAGGATAGGCAGGCAGGCAGGAGCAGGGGATATTTATTCACTCTTCTTAATTTTGAGCAGCTTTCTTTTTAAACGGTAGCAATTCAAGGTAGAAATATTTGTTTAGCTGTGGCTACCTGCAAAATGCCCTGATAAATATGCTTCTTTCTTTCGCCTCCCCTCCACTTCATCACATTATGTTCTCAGGTAGGGATAGAATATACCCAATCAAGCTGGGCACCGGTGTCTCATGCCTGTTATCTTAGCTACTCAGGAGGCTGAGATCTGAGAATCGCTGTTCAAAGCCAGCCCAGGCAGCAATGTCCATGAGACTATTATCTCCAATAAACCACCAGAAAGCTGGAAGTGTCACTGTTGCACAAGTCATAGAGTGTTAGTCTTGAACTAAAGGGCTGAGGGACAGTATCCAGACCCAGGCCCTGTATTCAAGCCCCATGACCAACAACAAAAAAATAGTCCCAATTAGATGTGATTCATAGATATTTCCATTTTAACAAGTGACAGAGTTTCAATCTGAAAGGTTGACTTCCTTTTATGATTGAGTTTTAAGTCAGTAGGTCCTTTGGAATCACATACAGAAAAGGGTACCTACCATCATTCTAGCTTTACTATTTCTCTTTGAACCCTCTACTATCTTTCCTCTGGTCCCTATTGAAAAGTCATTGGGATATTATTTTGTTGTTGGTGGTGGTGGTCATGGAGCTTGAACTCGGGGCCTGGATGCTATCCCTGAGCTTATTTCTCTCAAGGCTAGTGCTCTATCATTTTGACCCACAGAGCCATTTCTGGTTTTCTGGTGGTTAATTGGAAATTAGAGTCTTATGGACTTTCCTGTTCAAGCTATCTGCTATCTGATAGCTCCTCAGATCTCAGGCTCTGGAGTAACAAAAGATTACAGGTATAAGCCACAGTGCTCAGTGGGATGTTTGTTGTTGATTGTTTTCTGTTTTGGATTTTCCTTAAAGGGCACTCAAGTGCAGAATTGCTATATAACATGTATTTTAACCTCCTCTAATGTGAAGTTGTTTCTGGGTTCCCATCCTCATTATGTCTTAATAATATCTTACAATACATGATCATTTGTGATTTCTCCTTGGCTGGGCATGCAAATGATGCTCGGAGCTGAGAAACTTCCACTTCTGATGGCATAGTTCCACTTCACCATCGCTATATGAGACACAATAGCAAGGCCTTATTCTCAGTTTAAACCCTAATACTGCAGAACAACAACAAAGACAACTCTATATTGACAGGAATCAATAGCTACGTCTAAAGATAGTCTTACAGTCAGACTCTCAAGTATTCCTAGGGTTTCTATGTCAAGTGAAGAGCAGGTTAAGGCTGACACCTGAAGACAAATATTCTCTATAGATAGACTGGCAAATTCACTCACATACTCATAAGCTGACTCCCAGAGGAGGCCAAACCAAACATATGATATTAGTTTTCCAGTCCTTGAGGCCACTGTGGGGATGTTGGCATCACTTATTGCCCAGGTCCACATTTGAGAAGCTGGTTAGCTCCTGAAAAAATGAGGGAAATCCAGGCTGTTTTCCTTACAGCTGCCCTGCAGCTTTGGAGCAAGTTACTTCTGAGATTCTGGCCACCTTGGAAGAACTCAGAAGGCTAGGTCAGTATTCCAGACTCAGTCAGTCAAAACTGAAATTCCTGATTCTCTCATATAAGGTTTGAGAAGAGTTTATGGGCTAGCAACCCCATTTCTTACTGTGAAAATGGGAGTAGGGAGACATTTAACCATGGAAGACTGCTAAAACTGAAATGGAGTTGAAAGATAATGTAACCCATATTTCC